TGTGAAGGCATGCGAAAGGCCGCTCACAAGACGCAGCTCCAAGTCGACAGTCCGCGACCTGCCCTCTAGGTATATGGCAGCGTCGCGCTTCTTTTTATAATCAAAACATAGCAGTCTACAAAACCAAAACTGGTTCGTCGTGCGCGCTCGGAACAACCCCAAATGAGGCGGTGCTGTTCCAGCTGATGCTGTACAACGCAAGCGTCTTTACTTCAACCCCCGATCGATGCATGCTGACTGTGGACCTCTTCTCGTTTGGGAAAGTGATTGCCCTGTACATGAAGAGACGCGCTCCAGAGGGAATGCGATGTCAATTCTCCGCCAGCAGCCCGAGCAAGGTCCCACTGCCATTCCCAAGTCGGTTAAGTTTGAGGAGTGGCGTGGCGCCCCGAAGAGGAACAAACGTAAGCGCACGTCCTCCGCTGGTCCAGCTAGTCGCTACAAACACTACGCCCGCAGCCTGCAACGCCTTTTTTCCTCTGCAACTGATATTGCTACATGTTTTCGCGATGTGCGGGCTTGAGAATATGTGTGGGTGGCACCTTTGTTCGCGCTGGAAGGCCCCAGCTATTCCGCCGAATCCCCGCGGCAACGCTCAACTTACTGCGCGCGGGGGATTGCGCTTGCGTTTTGCCTGGCGTTGCAAGCGCATCACGTTTGCATTGTTTTTTGTTATTACGTTTGCATTGTTTTTGTTGCAGCAGTAGAGAACGAGCGAGAGAGAGAGAGAGAGAGAGGGGACGGAGGGCGGTATAATGGAGGGGGGAGGGAGGAGGAAGTGAAAGGAGGGTGGGCGACGCAAGTGTTAAGATGCGACGCGTCGTATCCACAGACCCCTAAGAGCCGTCACGCGCGCGGAAAACTGCTTGGTCAAATCGCACAAACGATGCACCGCACGGGGGGGGGAGGGGCCGCCGTCGCTCGCACGGCCGTTCCCGGGCGCGCGCTCTGCGGTCTCGTGCGCTCGCTTCTCGCAGGAGGCCCCGGGGGAGCAACAACAAAAATGCACAGGCCCGAGCGATGCCGAGAGGAGGGAAGGGAAAGGGGGGGGGGAGGGAGTGGGCGGGGCGCGTGCGCGCGGCGCCGCGGCGAGGGGCGGCGAGGGCCAAGGAGACAGCACGGGAGGTGGTGGACAGCGAGAGGGCGACAAGGAGGCAACGGGGGACGAGCAGGACGACGAGGGGGAGGGGGAGGAGGGGGAGGAGGCGGGGGAGGAGGAGGAGGAGGAGGAGGAGGAGGAGGAGGAGGAGGAGGAGGAGCAGGAGCCGGAGGAGGACCAGAGCATTTCTTCTTCGGCCTCGGATTATTACGCTGTCACTCGCATCATATCGGATCGCTCCCTGCCTGGCTGGCGCATACTCTTTGCCCTTGCACCTGCCAGGCCAAATTCGTTTGTCCCCGACCTCAGCCCGCCTTCCCGTCTTCCTCACAGGAACGCTTCAGGCTCTAACCTTCAGTCAGCGCAGCGTCGACAAGGAGGACCAGAGCAAGCCGCAGGTGCACCAACGCTGCTGCAATACACCTCCAATCCCACGCCACCTCATCTGGGGAAGCCAAGAGGCGCCGGTACCGCTGCTTCCCGAACCTCTCCCGGGGCGCGCCCTGACCAGGATGTCGGGGCGGATCCAGCGGCGGCGACGAGGGGCCTCCGAGGAGGTCCCCCAAAAGGGGGAAGACGGGCGAAGGGCAGCGGCATGGGTTCCCTTGTTCCTCCTCCGAGGGGACGTGCCCTTCAAGAAGCGAGCGTCCCCACGAGCCCATGTAGAAGTCCTGGGGGGGGGCTCCCGTTCGGCAGGGAGGCTGCCCCGACACGGGAAGGGGGGGGTCACGAAACAGAAGATGGAATCCAGCGACAGCCCCCCCATGTGAAGAGAGACCTTCTCTCCGTGCACGGTGGGAAGGTGCACACGCTGTGGACGTCTGGCCACAAGTTGACACGGCACGGGGCCCAAAGGCATGCACCACCGCCACCTCGCCCAGCCCCTCCCTCTCCCAGGAGAGAGGAGGGGGGAACGAGGAGGGTGGAGGAGGGGAAGAGTGCACAGAGTGCAGACGTCTGGCCACAGGTTGACACGAAGTCTCAAGCGTGGGCCCGATGTTGAAGGGATTCGCCCTACACGCGTCAACTGTTGCACAAAGTGTTTTACAAGTGATGACAAGCGGCGAAGAAGCATCAAGCGAGATCCCCAGTGTGAAAGGAGATCGCACTCCAGGAGTGTAGATAAGGAGATAAGTGTTTGGTGTTGTAGGCTGGTGTTCGCGGCGCCTAGGCGTGATACTCGTTTTTTGTTTAATCGGCTCAAGTCGTGCGGCTGCGGGAGATGTGCTTAAGACGAGCGCGCGTTGCGCTCAAGCGAGTTCACCCACCAATCTTGACACACGAACAGCCCTCCACTGGAACTCTGAAGTTCCAAACTCGTACACAATGGGGAAGACACGCGAAGCAGCAGGACCGCCCGAGCGACAAGCCTAGTTGCGCGACAGAGGGGAGTTAGTTATGGGAAAACAGGATGGAGGAGGATGAGGGAGATGAAGAAGACGTGAAGGAACACGAGGAGGAAAAGGACGAGAAACATAGAGAAAGAAACACAGAGAGGAGGCGTTTCGCTTGAGATTCGCATCGGACACCCTGCGCCATCGTCTCTTACATCGGCACAACAACAAAGAAACAATTTGGGCCATAATCTCCCGTCCCGATTGCACAGGCCACCTGAGGGGGCCCTTGGTGACAGGGGTGGCGACCCGTGGACATATAAGCTAAACTCTGCTGGCCTGCCACCGAGCGAAAATAAGAAGAGGAATAGGGGGTCTGGTTAGCGCAGGATTTCGCAAAGGTGCGATCCTCGCATCCTGGCCCTGCCAAACTACAATGCGGAAATGGTCCTGCTCGACAGCTCCTGCTGCTGACCCGTCTACCTGAACCGACTCAGCCAGTGTTCTGTCCATTTCTTCCACCGTGGGACAGTAGAGGGGCAATCTATTGGAACCGTTACACATTCGAGGGAGATTCTAAATCACCCCCATGCCCCGACATCAATGTTGAGCTCAGTGAAAGCGGTGCATTTGGGTTCGAATAGTTCTGTCCGCTCACGCACTCACGCCTCCCCCCCGTCGCCACGCCATCAATATCAATTTCGGGGGGCCTGGGTGGCGTCTTGGGACACAGGGTTCGAATATAATGTCCATGTACGGGAGGCGGATGGGGAGAAGGATCGGACCAGAGGAGAGGCAGAGGCCACTGCCAGGGAGCACACATCGGGGGGGGGGACTGACCCCTGGCCGGTGGCACGCCCGAGCGCCACCTCTCACGGGACGCTCTGGCGTGCCGCCGCCCCGGGGGTCGGTCCCCCAAGCTTAGGTCGGACATGTCCCCCTACAGGCGGAATGTGGACGGAAAAAAACAGACCCACAAAATTTGTTGATCCGCGGGTCGAGAGCGCACCTCTTCCGGTCGAAGCTAAGCGGGCCGCGCACAGCTTGAATTAACGAGAGGGGGGCAGAAGGAGGGGCCTCACATCAAGGCCAGGAGGGGGCAAAGCCCCGGAATCAGGCGGTGCCGAGGACGATGTGCTTGCAAAGGAACGCCTTGGACGTACCGACAAAAACATTCAAAAATTATTAAAAAATGGTCAACAAATCGTCTCCAGACTACTTTTTGGACTACATCCCCAGGCCGAAAGTGTTTTCCTGTTGGCGCTGAACCTCACGGTCCCACGCGGTGCACGGGCCCACTGTGAAATCATAGCGGCGAACCCAATGAGGGTCGCACGGATCCGATTTCCAACCTTACCATAATCGTGAAATCGCGGCGGATCCCATTTCCGTGCGCGCGGATCCCATTTCTGATTTTCGGGATCCGCGTCGGACCCCATTTTTTTACGGAGGATCCCATGCCTACCCCGTTTTGAATTTATAACATTAAATTCGTTCCGGGACCCGACAAGAATGGGATCCGTCGACCGCAGGGCCCCCCCCCGTGTTAAGATTCTACGGGGGACGGGGGTGGCCCTTTTCGACGTCAAGAGGAAAATCGTTCGTCCTGCGTAAGTATCTTTGAGTATTCCTCCTGTGGAGAGACAGGCCCGACTTAAGACTGACCCCTGGCTGGTGGCACGTCCGAGCGCCACCTCTTACAGGACGCTCCGGCGTGCCCGCGCCCCAGGGGTCGGTCCCCCAACCCCCGATGGGCTCTCGGTGGCGGTGGCCCTCCACTGGGAGGAGGAGGAGGAGGAGGAGGAGGAGGAGGAGGAGGAGGAGGAAGAGGAGGAGGAGGAGGAGGCGGAGGAGGAGGAGGAGGGAGGAGGAGGGAGGAGGAGGGGGGAGGAGGAAGGAGGAGGAGAGGAGGAGGAGGAGGAGGAGGAGGAGGAGGAGGAGGAGGAGGAGGAGGGAGGAGGGAGAGGAGGAGGAGGAGGAGGAGGAGGAGGAGGAGGAGGAGGAGGAGGAGGAGGAGGAGGAGGAGGAGTAGGACCACTTGCGACAACGGCGGCTCTGCCGCCCGGGCCCACGTCGGCCCAAGTGCACGCCCCAAAGCGGTCCACACGGGCCCCTCCCGGAGGCCCTCCTGGCAGCCTTCGGGCGCGGATCCGGCCCTGGCGACGAGACGCCTCCAGGAGGCACCAGAAACGAAAGGAGACGCCAGGGAGGGGGCGCGACAAACTTCTGCTGCGTCGTCTTCCGGCCCGCATCGATCTGTGAGGGTCCCGAGGCTCGAAGCCGGCCTTCGACGCCCGGCCCGGACAACTTATGGCGCCAAGATCTCACGGGGAGGGCGGCGCCTCTCCGGCCCTCTGAAGAAATCAAAAGATACCGATACAGCTACTCCCTGGACCTCCTCGAGCTCTCCTGGGGTGCGCTCCGAACAAGAATGTCGAGGCGAATCTGGCCGTGGCGGCGAGGGCCTCTCGAGAGGCCCGAAGAGGCGAGCACGGCGGAAGGGTAGCAGCATTGGTACCTTCTCCTGCGCGCCCCCCCTCCCCCTCCCTTCTGCCGACCCGCGCGGCCTCATACTCCGCGACCGCCCGCCCGAGCCTGTGGACGCCCGAAATGGGCACGGGACAAACGGGTGGGATGCCCAAGAGCAAATATCCTCCAACACCGACAACAGCCGCTGTTGGGTAGGCGGCCTTCTGTCCCGGACGGACCACGCCCGCCGCGGCACCGACAGCGAACTGCTGTCTCAAGGGGCCACATGCGAACCCTGCCCCTACCCCCCACGATTTCTGAGGGGGAGGGGGGGGTTCACTTCGCTCGGGAGCTCTCGAACGAAGTGAACCCCACCCCCCCCCTCAGAAATCGTGGGGGGTAGGGTGTCCGTCGTTGCCCCCACTCTTTCCGTACCTACTGTCGGGAACTCTTGCAGAGCGTGTCGAGGCGGCGGCCCCAGTGACACGCGATGTGCCCTGCAAGCGGATAGCGTGTCGATCTCCGCTGCGCCAGGCGGGAGGCTCGGAAACACGCTCGGGGAGGGGACGCCAGCGCGACGAAGCTGGGCTCGCGGTGGGGCAGAACTGGCGGAGCGACGCGCGAAACTTGTGGCTGTCATGACACTGGACACTCCAACCGTCCTGTCATTGAGTCCACCTTCTGCATGCTTCAAGCATGCCAGACACATGTTTAGAACATGCTTCAGCACGTTGGAAACAAAGTTCACGCACGTTTTAGACATCTGGGAATCATTCGGCAACGCGCCTCCTCTCCACTGATCGTCCTCCACAACGCTAACCAAAAGTTCCCGACCGCAGGCCCGTCGATCAGAGAGCCTCTCGTCCAGCGGCCTCTGCTCGGCCTGCGCCGCAGAGAGCCCCGCCTCGGCCGCCTGCAGCGCCGCCACGGCCTCCAGCTCGAACCGGGAGGCCCGCTGCAGCTGCGCCTCCCTGTCCTCGATGACGGCGACGACGGTGGCGACGAAGACCAAAGCGACGACGACGACGATGAAGAAAAGGACGAGGAGGAGGACGACGACGACGACGAGGGCGACGACGACGCCGACGACAACGACGAGGGCTACGACAACGACTACGACGAGAGCGACGACGAGGGCGACGACGACGACGACGAGGGCGAGGAAGAGGACGAGGACGACGACGACGACGAGGCCAATGACTACGACGAAAGCGACGACGGTGACGACGACGACGAAAGCGACGACGACGACAACGACGACGACGACGGCGGCGAGGGCGACGAGGGCGACGTTGACGACGGCGAAGACGAGGAGCATGACGACGACACCGACGGTGGCGACAACGACGACGCCGACGAGGGCGACGACGACGAGGGCGACGACGACGTTGACGACGACGACGACGACGAGGGCGAGCACGAGGGCGACCACAACGAAGGCGACGACGATGTCGACCGCGACGACGACGACGAGGGCGACGACGACGAACACGATAAAAAGGAGGACGACGACGACGAGAGCGACAAAGACGAGGGCAACGACGAGGGCGACGATAACGGCGACGACGATCACGGCGACAACGACAACGACGAAAGTGACGACGAGGATGAAGAGGGTGATGCCGACTACGACGGGGGCCACGATGACGACGACGCTTGCGAGGGCGGCGGCGACGCCGACGACGACGAGGGCGACGAGGAGGGCGACGACGACGACGACGAAAGCGACACCGACGACGACCACGACGACGACGACGACGACAAAAGCGACGACGACAAAGACAACGGCGAAGAGAGTGACGAGGGCGACGGCGACGACGAGGACGAGGAGGAGGAGGAGAACGGCGACGACGACGAGGGCGACGACTAGGGCGACGATGACGACGACGAAGATGCCGACGTCGAGGGCGACTACGACGACGACGACGAGAGCGAGAACGAGGGCAATGACGACGACGGCGACGCCGACGACGAGGGCGCCAACGACAACGGCGACGACGGCAACGACGACGACGACGAGGACGAGGACGACGATGACTTCGACGAAGACGACGACGAGAGCGAGAACGAGGGCAATGACGACGACGGCGACGCCAACGACGACGGCGCCAACGACAACGACGACGACGGCAACGACCACGATGGCGACGAGGACAAGGACGACGACGACCACGACGAAGCCAACAACGAGGGCGACGACGAGGGCGACGACAATGAGGGCAAACGGCGACCATGACGACGACGACGAAGCCGACAACGAGGGCGACGACGAGGGCGACGACGACAAGGCGACGACGACGACGACGACGACGATGTCGACGACGACGAAGACAGAGGCGACGACGATGACGACATGGGCGGCATCGAAGACGACGAGGGGGACGACGACGACGACGACAACGACGGCGACAACGACAAGGGCGAGGACGAGGACGACGACGACGAGGGCGACGACGACAATGACGAGGAGCAGGACGACGACGACGACATGACGACGACGACGAGGGCGACGACGACAATGCGACGACGACGACGATGACGATGACGACGACGAGACGACGACGAGGGCGACGAGTGCGACGACGACGACGACGCCGACGACACCGATGACGACGACGATTACGACGACGACAACGACGACGAGGGCGACGACGACGACGACGACGAGGACGAGGGCGAGAACGAGGGCAATGACGACGACGGCGACGCCAACGACGACGGCGCCAACGACAACGACGACGACGGCAACGACCACGATGGCGACGAGGACAAGGACGACGACGACCACGACGAAGCCAACAACGAGGGCGACGACGAGGGCGACGACAATGAGGGCAAACGGCGACCATGACGACGACGACGAAGCCGACAACGAGGGCGACGACGAGGGCGACGACGACAAGGCGACGACGACGACGACGACGACGATGTCGACGACGACGAAGACAGAGGCGACGACGATGACGACGACATGGGCGGCATCGAAGACGACGAGGGGGACGACGACGACGACGACGACAACGACGGCGACAACGACAAGGGCGAGGACGAGGACGACGACGACGAGGGCGACGACGACAATGACGAGGAGCAGGACGACGACGACATGACGACGACGACGAGGGCGACGACGACAATGCGACGACGACGACGATGACGATGACGACGACGAGACGACGACGAGGGCGACGAGTGCGACGACGACGACGACGCCGACGACACCGATGACGACGACGATTACGACGACAACAACGACGACGAGGGCGACGACGACGACGACGACGAGGACGAGGGCGACGACGACGAGGGCGACGACGACGACAAGGAGCAGGACGACGACGACGACGCGACGACGGCGAAGACGACGACGACGCAGTCGACGACGAAGACGGCGACGACGACGACGAAAACGAGGAGGAGAGGACGACGACGACGACGACGAGGGCGGCGACGATGCCAATGCCGCCGCCGCCGACGACGACTGCGAGGGCGACGACGACGGCGAGGACAAGGAGGAGAACGCCGACGACGACGAGGGCGACGAACACGTCGAGGAGGAGGAGGACGGCGACGACGAGGGCAGCGATGGCGACGACGGCGAGGAGGAGCTGCGGCTTCTCGTCCTCGACTTCTCGCTCCTCGGCGGCGACGGCCTCGGAGCATGACACAAACTGCGTACAGTCGAGGCGTTGACCTAAGGAACCCTAAATAAGGAACGAGGCCCCTTTTTACCTAACAGCGAGAACTGATAGGTTTCTAATGGGGTCAAAAGAAAGCATCTGATGACTCCCCAGGGGGGTCTGGGCGGGAGCCGGACAGGCGAGGGCCGGGCTCGTTTTAAGCAAACAGTCACACACTTCGTGCTCTTCGACCTCCCAGGAACCCTAAGAACCTCCCAGTCACACACCTAAGGAACCCGAAATAAGGAACGAGGCCCCTTTTTTCATAAGTTAACCTACGACTTCCCATCGAAAACCTAACGAAAACCCGAGGCAAACTGTGAAAGAGCCAAGGAACACCGAGCGCCTCCCCAACGAAAAGGGTTCCTTCTTCAGCGCCCCGACTGTAAGCGCACGCCGCTCGGAGGCCCACGGGGACGCTCCCGGCCCCGGCGAGCCCTCGGCGACGAGGAGGCTCCCTGACCTGGGTCCACGGATCGGCCCGCACACCGGAGCCCCTCCCGAGCCCAAGGGTGTCCCCGTGGAGCCCCCCCAAAGAAAGGGTACCGACACCGCCTGCTCCGGGGCGCGTTCTGACCAGGAGGTTTCGAGGCGAATGCAGCGGTGGCGACGAGGCCCTCCCACGAGGCCCAGAGAGGGGAGAACGGGCGAGGGGTAGCAGTATGGGTGCCTGTTCCTCCTCTGACAAATGGTTCGTTTAGGAGCGCTGTGGGCTTTGGGAGGGCCGCGCGGACATCTGAAGCGTAATGTCTGTGCAGTTGTTTCGTCCTCGGAAGGCCTCCCGCTGGTCCGCCATCCTCTGCCTGAGGGCCTCGCTGGGATCGAAGCCGTCTGCCTCCTGGGCGTCCACCTGCTCCTGGGATTCGGCGAGGGCGCTCTGCGCCGTGTGGATCATGGAGGAAGAAGCAGCGGCACAAAGACAAACTTTTGGCGCTCCGCGCAGAGTTCTTGGGATCCGCGCTGGGCCCCCCGGCGGCTGGCGCGCTCCGCGCGCCAGGGAGGGGGGTCCAGCGCGGATCCAAAAAATCCGCGCGGAGCGCAAACAGTTTACGACTGTGTCGCTTTTTCTTCTTCAAGATCAGGCGGCTGGCCTGCTCCACGCCCGCGGCCGCGGCCGCGCGGGCCTCCCGTGCAGCCTTCAAGGTCTCGTTCTTCGCCTCGACATCCTTCGCCGCGTGCCTTACCTTGGAGGCCTGATCGCGAAGCAACTTGCGGGTCTTTTCCATCGTGTCCTTCTTTGCGTCGGCGAGCCCCTGAGCCTTCTCTGCGGACCTTCTGATCTCGATCCTCCTCTCCCTGTCAGAGGCCTTTGCCTCTTCGGCGTCCGCGGCAGCTCTCTTCTCCTCGTTGAACTCCGCCTCGGCCTCCTTGTCCACCTCCTGGACGAAGTCTGACATAACACTGCGATTCTCAATATGGCTCATGATGTTTTGGACAGGCTCCAGTGTAGTGGTTGGGCTGGTTGTCGTGGTAGGGGCACGGGCCGGAGTCTCAGACGTTTCCTCTACATTCTCTAGTAGCGGGCGCATTGTAGTCGTGCTTTTTCGCGGCATGACCTTGCCCGGGACGAAGAACATCTCACAGTCTGTTACGCTGCAGTACTTGTTCCATACGCGCGCGCGATTCATGCATCCCTCACGGGGGTTCAATGGTGTGACACGCTGCTCTGCCATCCTCTCGTGTTGCCACTGTGCCACCTGCGCAGAAGCAGGGAATCGCCAGCACCCGGACGGGAAGCGCATGTAGCACCCAGGCTCGGATGGTAGGCCATCGGCAGCGACGTGGTCAGACGTCTGTGGTAGGCCATCGGCAGCAACGTGGTCAACCGTCTCCAGTGTTGCATGGCTGGTTTCAAACCAGGACGGCTGGGATTTGGTGGCCTCGCGCTTGTTCCTTCGGGGATCTACTGACCTGGGACAAACCAAGCCCGGGTCAGCCAGGTTTTGCAGGACCCTGCAACATCCTGCAAGATCCTGCAGGATCCTGCGCGCTAGCCTGGGTCAGTGCGCCACTGGCTTTGCGGGATCCTGCAAGATCCGGCGCTCTGACTGACCCCCGCTTGCATTGATAGAGGCCTCCTTGATGGGGTCAAAGTAGATGGGGTCGGAGGATCGCGCCGCATCGCTGATACATCGGCGATGCATCGGCGATGCATCGGTGATGCACTGGCGATGCATTGTCGACGTCGGCGATGCATCGGCGCCGTCGGCGTGGAGAAAATCGGACTCTGCATCGAGCCGCATCGTCGACGCATCGGCGATGCGGCGCGACTCTTCGACCCCGTCTACTCCGACCCATCCAGGAGACCTAGAATTGACCCCCATCTCTTGAGCCCCAAGCTCCTCTCGCCAAGGGCAAGCCCGCCCAAGAGCGCCCAAGGATCCCAGTCCTCGCTGCCGCTGCCGCGCTGCTGCACCGCGCGGGCGCACAGGAGCGTGGCAAGGACGAGGCGCAGCTCTCGAGCGGTGCCCATCGAGCACCAGCACGGCAAGATACGATCTTAGCCGCCCCGACACGCAGCACGCAGCCCGCAGCGTGTTGATACGGAGCTCAACACGCAGATCGGAAACGTAGGCTTGGCGCGACACCTTCGCCCAAAAAAAGGGGGCCAACACGTCGAGGCAGCACGCAGCCTGCTCACACGGACGCTTCGAACACGACACGTGCTGCGTTTCAACACGGGCGTATCAGGGCAGCTAAGGATACGATACCAGAATGACCCTCTAGACGGTCTGAGCCACACATGCGACCGACACAACGACGACGAACGAAAGGACCCACCTTCGAACGAGAACGGCGATGGCCCTCGTGACAAAGAGTCATCGGCGGCACAGGCGCACTTGCACCCTGACCCTTACCATCCCCTGTCCTCACAGAAAACGCTGCCATTGCTGATGCTGGCCAGTTCCAGAACCACTGGATCCATACATGCTGAGATCCCACCCATTGCCGCTGCCGCCCTCTGCTGGCAGCCCCGACCGCTACTTCACTCTGCCGACCTCCACCGAGTTTATGATGAGATGAGATGAGATACGGTAGAGGGAAACAATTAGTGAACACCCCCCCTGCCCCCAAAACTCAAAGTTGGCACGCGGGGGGAGACTGCGGTCGAGGTGTAACTCATCAGACCCACCGCCAACTTTGAACATTGGGGGAAGGGGGAGGCGTTCACAGATGAATGTGGCATGAGTGTTCGCTAATTTTTTCCGAGGCCTGTATGAGACTGGAGCGGTCGCGAAACGAAACTGTCCAAATCAAGCCCTGACCAGCTGCTCAGCTTAGCTGAGCCCCGTCGGCCGTAGGCTTTACGCCTGAGGTCTAGATCCCCCTCAATAATACATACATATATATACATATATACACGCACGTATATAGATACAGGTGTGCGTATGTGTGCGTGTATGTGTGTATGCATGCGTGCATGTATACCTGCACGTATGCATGTATGCATACACGTATGTGTATATGCATGCATGCATGCATGTATGCATGTATATATGTGTATGCATGCGTGCATGCATGTATATGTGTATGTATGGATGTAGGTGGTTGTACGTATGCGTGTATGCGCGTTGGTGTGCGTGTGTGTGTATGTATGCAGGCAGGTTTGTATGTATGTATGTGTGTAGGTATACATAGGTGCACGTATGTGTGTATGTATGTGTATGTATGAATGCATGGATGTGTGCATGTATACCTGATTATATGTTTGAATAGTTATGTGAATGTACTTATGCAGTGCTGCATGCGTGTATGTATGTCTGTATGTGTGTACGGATGGATGAACGTATGCATGTGTGCATGAATGTATGTACGTCTATGTGTCTGCATGGTTGTATGTATGGATTGATGTATGTATGCATGTAGGTATTCATGTCGTAGGTTTGTAGGTACGTACGTATACACGTGTGTATGTATGTGTGTATGTATGGATGAATGTATGTATTTGTGTATGTATGTATGGATGGATATCTTGATGCATGTATGCATGTATGTATGTATGTGTGCATGTATGTATATATGCATGTATGTATGTACGTGCGTACGTATGTATGTATGTATGTATGTATGTGTATGTGTGTATGTGTGTATGTGTGTATGTATGTATGTATGTATGTATGTATGTATGTATGTATGTATGGATGTGTGTATGTATGTATGTATGTATGCATGTATGCATGTATGCATGCATGCATGTATGTATGTATGTATGTATGTATGTATGGATGTATGTATGTATGTATGCATGTATGTATACATGCATATATGTATGTGAATGCATGTATGTATGTATGCATGCATGTATGGATGTATGTATGTGTGTCTGTAGATTGGCGGTCCCAGGTCCCGAGAGCGAACCCCAGAACCCGGAAACATAAAAACCTCAGGACCACTTTCCCTGAGGACCGCTTTGCATCCTGACGATCCTCGCCCTCCCCCCCCCCCTTGCAGGCGACGGCGTTCCGGGCCGCGCGGGCCACGCCTGCCCAGCGGTGGGGACGGACCCCAGTGTTGCCCTCGCCGCACCCGCCAGAGGACATCCTCCTCCTGTCTCGCTCGCCCACCCCCCTCCCCATCCCGTCGGGGCCCTGGGGCCGCCTCCTCTGACTTCAGGAGCCCGTAGCCGAGGACTCCCCGCAAAGCACTGTCATCGGCGGTGGGCGAGCCTCCTTTTCGCAAACCACCCTTTAGAGAAGAAACGGCCTGGGACCGAAACCGACGCACCCGGACGAGCGAGAGTGACGGCCGCGGCGCCCTCTCGCGAACCGAGGACGGCCGATGCGCGAATCGACGCGTCCGGGCAGGAGGCCGATCGACCTCCGACAGCACCGTGGGCCCCGCCACGGAGCCTGCGGCCGTGGGCCGGTCCGGGCAAGCCCCGACGGGCTGGCCCCGCGGCGGGCGGGCCCGCACGACCGTGTCCAGGCGAAGGCGAACGGGCGGACCCCCGGCGGGCGGGTCGGCCGGGCGAGCTCTCCCCAGCGCGGCTCGGGCGGCGGACCCGCTCGGGCGGGTCGGGCGGGCAGGGCACGGGACGCGAGCCTCGCAGGTTGGCGGGGAGCTTCCGGCGAGAGCACGAGGCCGGAGGGAGTTGCGAGGAGGTCGACCGTGCCAGAGCGCGTCTCTCCCGGGCAGGCAGGAGCGCAGCGCTCTCAGAGTGCAGCGCAGGTGGCTCCGAGGGGGAGGCCGCGGTGCCGGAGCGGAGCGCGAGGGAGTCCCGCGAGAGCGCGCTCCAGAAGCAAAGTGCGGGGCGCTCCCGCGCGACAGCGGGATTTTGATTCTTCCGACGATAGGGTCCGACGTGCGAACCTCCCAGACTGACCCAGAAGTACACGTCGGTCATGTCTAATCGTGCTCATTTCTGACTGCGTTAGCTTCTGATGGTTCCTGGCCCCCCAGCGGCCAGGAAGAGGCCCAGGGTAGAACAAGTAGACATGAAATGATATTGGCCCCAAAAAAAATCAAAGAACTTTCGAAGAGTTAGAGATGATCAGTGTGTAGCCCTCGTCGTCGTCGTGCTCGTGAGCGCAGAGGCCCTCCCCCGTCTCCTCGTCGCCTCTCTCCTTTTCCCACCTCGGCGGGCTCCCTCTTGCCGCCCCCTACCTCCGCCTCCTCCTCGTCCTCCTGCCTCTCCTCTCCCTGCCCACCTCCTCCCCTGACGGGCCCATCTTCCACCACCACCGACATAAGTACTTAGGAGGGGATGGGTTCCTCCTCCTCCTCCTCGCCTCCTCGCCTCCTCCTCCTCCTCCTCCTCCTCCTCCTCCTCCTCCTCCTCCTCCTCCTCCTCCTCCTCCTCCTCCTCCTCCTCCTCCTCCTCCTCCTCCCTCCCCCTCATCCTCCACCTCCTTCCCCCCTCCAATTTATGGTGGTGGTGGTGGTGGAAAA